TCTATTGTATATAAAATGAATACGATTTCTGTGATAGATTTTAAATAAAAGTGATAAAAATCAATTTTCTCAGTATTAACTATAACCATTTAAAATTTTTCAAATTCTTTCATTATAGTATTGTAATAATTGATGTACACTGGAGCTGTTCAATTGTACTTGAAATACATTAATTTTAACTTTACTTTAATGATATAAATTTGAAATCGTTTATATTTATTTTTTAATACTTTCACAAGTTTTTCCAATTAGATACTGTTCAATTGAACTATATTCAACTAATACAACTTAAAGGATTAATCAATATTTAAGAATAATTTTTAATAGGTCTAATCAATCAGAAATAAAATAAAAGCCATCAGGGTTCTGTCTCTATGTCCAATTTACTACAATACTTACATTGTGGGATGAGGGATCAAGGGTTGGAAGTTCAAATCTTCTAAAGGGAAATCATCAACAATAGTTCTTTGTATATATACTTATTTTAACCAAGTTACTTTCGTGACTCTTTATAAGTATTTAAAATACAGTGAAAACATGAAAATGTTCAGGGAAAAATAGACAATAATTCATTAGTCTCATGTGTACCTTTTTAACATCCTATTTGGCAATTATTATTTTTTAGCGGAACAATCAAATAGTATTCAAGTTTCTAATAATACAATTCTTTCGGTTCCTCCAGTTTCATTTCAGATACAAGATGTTAGAAGTTTAAAAGAGGTATATAATATTTTAATTCAATAAGATAAAATATTAATAATATATATTTGTTTTTGTTTTTTTTTTAATGTACATTAATAAGAGTAAAAATTGTATTACAAATGGTAATAAAACATGTTATGAAATAAAATATCAGTATGAAGTTACGAGTTCAAGGGCTACTCTTGTAGGCTCAAATCAACAAATAGTTAACAAAGGAGTACCCATAAACGGTACATATTGTTTAATAGACACAGTGTATCAAAAAAATTATTTAAAAACATTCAAAGAGTTTGGAGCCAAAGCAATAAGATCACAACAAATTCTTAATGATATGACAACAATACCAAAATTATTCACACTTTTTAAATGTATGGATAAATCATGTACAGACGTTTTCTCGGATAAAGTAATGTTTGAATTACATATACAATTACATTTTTCAAATATGGGTAAAAATAAAAGTAACTAATATTTTACTTGTTATTGTCTTTAAATTTGAGTATAAATGGTGATCTTTGTTAATGATGTGTGTTTTAGAGAATCAAATAAATAATTCTGAACAGTTCAAACATTGTGTATATTGCTTTAAACAATTTGATGATGGAGAATCTTTGGCTACTCATATTTTAAAAAACTATTCTTTCTGTAAATATTTTTGTCCATTTTGTTTTTATCGTGCATATACACCTCTTCATGTACTGTTTCATCAGGTAAATATTATTTTCAATTTTAATTTTAATTATGTATTATAAGTGTATTATTAAAATTATTATTATTATAATTTTGATTTAGAATTTACTTCATAATACAAAGAATTCAAATATAATACAACTGGAGAATGATAATTCGGAAGAAATATTAATGGCAGTTGACTATAATGATTTTATTATGCCATATAAGTGCATTGTCGGTATGTTGATCTTTATTTTTATTCTAAGAGAAACAATGTATGCATGTGATTTTCTGGCATTAATCGGAGGGACAGCTTATAAATTATAGTATTTAAATGTCTCCAAAGAAAAAAACTAGTGGTGTCAAATTAGGTGAACACGCGGGCCTAGCCATCGGTGCATTTGCATGCCCACTCCCCTTTTTCAATAGTTTTCATTTATTCGATGTACGAGATTTATATCAGTTTTGTAAAAATATTGAATAAAGTTTCATGGTCAAAACTTGAACGGTAAATTCGCATACAGTTATATAAATACAAAAATTGGTTCAAATTAGTTATACAGCTTCAGTTCAAATACAGCTAAAAAAAAATATAATTTCGATGGTTAAATCCTACCAATCTGCTCTTACTTAAAGCTTACTGCCTTACATGACATTGTAGAACGGCTCTTAAAATTGTTAAATCGTATAAAACTATTTAAGGCAAAGAACCGTTAACTTTTCTCTGTTGTTATTATTACTGGTTGTATAATTTTTATTCAACTAAGACAACCAATTTAAACTTTATTGGGTTTTTTTTTTTTAATATTTGGTGTATACTATTGACACACTTATGTATTTTGATAACCATGTTGGAATTACATAATATGATTAGGGTTACATAAATAAATAAAAACATAACTATTTATATTATAATACAAATAAAAAATGCAGAACAAATTTGTTTGTATTAGTAATAGTTAATATATTTTATACTAAGGATATATAATAATATATCAATATCAATATATAAAAATAATATAAATAAGTATAAAACAATTTTTAAATTGTCTTTACTTATTGTTTAAATGTTGTTTGCAATGTTAATTATTGTAAGAAATATTTAGATTTTTTTGGAGTTGTGCTTCATCTAATCGTTGGGGTATTGATAAGGAGATTCGAATTTTTTTAAAATCTGGAACCCAGAAGGTTATTTCATTGGTAGAGAAGAGGTTTTGGAGTACCGGGAGAGCGCTAAGAGAATCCCTCGGTTTGAGTATGTTATAAAAGGATATAATATTTTAAATAGATTTTCTTTAGCTGTGCTATAGATAATTGACTTATAATTTATTTGTGATAGTTTTAAGGATTTATATACGTTTAGAAGTGGTTTTATATGAGCCCCACTCTCGAAATATGATCGGAAATTTTTTCCATTTTATTCATTTTTATTTTTACATGAACTTTTGTGTTTTTAAGATGATGAGTACATTTTAATTGTTTGTAAAAGATCATTCCTAATAGGCATAGTGATTCGCAAAAGGGTATTTCAGAATCGTTGAGAAATAATTAGTGGTTCTAAGCTATTAATATTAGTTATTGTTTATCGAGTATTATTGAGAGTTGAAAGATATCGGCGAAATGCACATTGTTTGTTTGTTGGTATGTTTGATGTCTCTAAATGCCAAACAAAGGGTTTATTTTCAAGCTTTTTCATTGTTTTACTTAGTGTATTCATGAGTCATATGGGCCTCTAGTTAACAATGTCAAAGTTGTTCTTGTTCCGTATTGGGATCGGTGTAACGATTGCATTGGGCCAATGATCCGGATATATGTCGTTATTCCATACAATATTGCAAATTTGATGAGAGTTTCATGTTTCGGTAAATTTGGTAGATTTTGAATACAATTGTATGGTATCTCATCTAGACCTAGGCTTTTGCTTTTGCATCCAATTATGCATCGTTTATTTCAGATATATTAAACGATTGATTGATTGTGATATCTTGTTGATAGAGGTTATGTTCCAGGTATTTCATGATATATGTTTTTCTCGAATCCATCAATCTCAATCTAAATCAAGACTATTTTTAGTAAAGTGCAGCGCAAAAGCCTTGGCTATATTTTTCGAGGATGAGAGTGTGATGCCATTATGGTTTAGATCAAATAGTAATAGTTGGTGAATAATTCCTTTAATGCCTTTAATTTTAATTCACATGTTGGTTGCAGATGTGTTTGAATTTATTGAGTTTGTGAACTTATGCCAAGATTAAGTTTTACTTTATTTTGTGATTTATTTTGATTGTGTGTGAAATTTCTTCTTATCAATTTCTAATATTTTGAGCAATGGACGCTTGGCTATTTAAAAAAGCTCCTATTTTGTACATCAATGATAGGAATATTAATTAGGTTTATGGATAATTGTCTATTAAATATTATAATTAATCTTATGTATCATTTTTGTTTTCTCTGATTCTGTCACTATGGTTATTCTAATTACTACACAATATTGTTGTTAATAATTATACTATACTTTTATTAAATTATTTTAGGGCGATGTACTTTCTCCTGTTTGGTCTCTAATGATTTCATACATCATTTAAACAAGGAGCATCAACAATGTAATAAATTCTGTTGTCACATTTGTAGCAATCAAGATTACAATAAAGGATTAATTGCATACAAACCAAGTTTATTAATAGAAGTAAATGCACAAAATTTGTAATTAAATTTATAAGTTATTTGATATAAAAATTAAATTTTTTTATAGCTATTGTTCTAAGGTTGTAAATCATAAATGTATTTCAGTTACATGTATTTTATTTCCATTTAGAAATACATATTAATTTAATATATACGAGGGTTAATCAAAAAGTATCAAGACTGATAATATTACTCGGAAACCGAGCATTGAAGAGCAAAACGATTTTTAAACCTAGCTTCTATGACTTATACTGAGCACATCTATTCGTATAAAATCTCTATAACTTTCTTCGTTTTGATTTGACGATATTTGTCTAAAATTTGATTTTCACGTTAGGCGATTTCGTAATGAATCCAAAAGAAGCGGAACTTGCTGCCACTCGAGGGCACATTTTCAGTTTTTCAATTGACATTTAATGGCGAAAACCATAAAATGTTGCATCCCTCTGAAACTGGAAAAAAATGCAGAAAAATTTTCTAAAATCTCCAAATCTGTCAAGTTCCTCTTCTTTTGGGTTTATTAAAAAATCGCCAAACTCGAAAAATATATTTTACATAAATATCAGTGAAATCAAACCGAAAAATTTTATAGAGAAGCAATAAAGACAAATGTACTCAGAAAAAGTCATAGAAGCAAGTGATACCAATCCTACTGCTCTTTTTCCGAATGATACTACCAGTCTTGATACTTTTTGATTAGCCCTCGTATGTTCTTCTAATGACTGTAATATATATTTTTTATATCTATATAGGTTTTTTAAAACTAATTATTCTATTCTTTGATAACATTTAAGACTTAAATAATTCTGTAAACCAAACTAGGATTCACCAACTAATAATTTAATTTTTAATGGAGTTTATGAGACAACCTACCAATTGTGGCAAGAACCTGTGACAAAATAAAATTAAACATAAACTATGGGCCTTTTTTATATTAGTTAACATATATATAATATGTAAAATAAATAAATAGTTTCCTTGTTCAATAAGTATCTATATTTTTCAGCACTTTAAAGATCACCATTTAAACATGTACCAGTGTATTTTCTGTTTGTTTGGTACTGAAACTATAGATTCAATGATCTTACATTTAGCCATGGAACATTTTGAATATGACTCATTGTGTTTGGAGCGTTCTGTGAAGTCTGGCAGTTGTGTATGAATAATTAAATTTTTTATAATTTATACTTTCATGTAATTATTTATCATAACTTTTATAGGATTCTTCAAAGGTTGGAAATTTGAACATTATAAGAATGGAAGCACATTTATACAATGATTTATTAAAAATAGTGAATTTAACTTCTGGCATGAGTTCTTTATCTGAAAATCTTACCGAAAGAACTCAAAAGGAACAATCAAATAATGCAGTTACAAATTTGAAAAAAAGTGCCAATATTGTGGAAAACGAACAATTGTCTCCAGCAATTGTTATACAGGTTCCAGCTAGTGAAAAAAAAATGGAAATGAGTAACTCGTTAGGACTAGTTCATCACAATCAAATTAATCTACAAAAGAATGTAAGAAATGTAGGAATAAGTTAAAAATAGAAATGTTTAGATTTTTTCTTTAAATTACTTAAAATATTAGTTAATGTTTATAAGTTAATCAATTTCATAATTATGATAAAAAATTATCAAATTGTTGACCCACAGGATTCTGCGAAATTACAAACTGTTGCTGAAAATAAAAATATGATATCATTTTCACCGGATACTATTGATAATATCCCAAAGATGGAATTTTTCCCGAGTCTTATAGCGTGTTCACTGTGTCAACAATTTATTACAAGAGTGCGGTATAATTTAATTCGCCATTTAAAAGCCCACCAAAGAAACCGAGATAATACAACTAAAGAGATTGTGAATCCATTAACTTCTATTGGAAAGTCAAGACATATGCTTGAAAAACCTACAACTCAGTCCGCCAATTCATTTAAATCAATGAATCCGAAAATGGTAATAGACTATTTTGGAACTTAATTTTTTGTTCTATAAACTTTTTTTGTTTAGGTTGAACGACCTAAGGTACAACAACAACCCTTAGGTTTAGAATTGAATAAACGAAACGAAGAAGAAAAAGTTATTGTTGATAGAAGTTCAATGGCAATAAAAAACCGATCGATGGTTAAAACTGTAAGTTTTCCTATTACAATATACAGGCATATTTCATTCCTGAAGACAACTTCTCAACTAATAATTTCTCTTTAAAATTTACTGATTGAATTTATATTAAAAATAATTTTCACTAAAGTAGTACGAATTTTAGATTTTTCAAGAGGTATACTAGAAAAAATTGTGTAAAACTAGAAAAAAAACATGTTAAATCAGGGTTAACATAAATGTTGAGACATGAAACAAATAAAATTAAAATAAAACTTTATGTTTACTTAATTATTCTTATGTATTATCATATGAATTAAAGAACAAATACTAATATTTACAATCGACCATATTACTGTAGACAATGGTTTTTTAATATAAATATAATTATAAGGAATTTTATATTATATTTACCATTGTTAGAATATTATGTTTTTTAGTTAATCTTCTGTATTATTCTGATAAAAAATTATCAAATTGTTGACCCACAGGAATCTGCGATATTACAAACTACTGCTGAAAATAAAAATATGATATCATTTTCAACAAATACTATTGACAATATCCCAATGACGGAATTTTACCCAAGTCTTATAGGATGTCCACTGTGTCCAAAATTTAGTACACGAGTCCGGTCAACTTTAATTCGCCATTTAAAAGCCCACCAAAGATACCGAGATAATACAACTAAAGAGATTGTGAATTCACTTACTTCGATTGGAAAGTCAGGGCATATGCTTGAGAAATCGAAAACTCAGTCCGCCACCTCATGTGAATCAATGAATACNACTGTGTCCAAAATTTAGTACACGAGTCCGGTCAACTTTAATTCGCCATTTAAAAGCCCACGAAAGATACCGAGATAATACAACTAAAGAGATTGTGAATTCACTTACTACTATTAGAACGTCAGTGAATATGTGTGAAAAACCGACAACCCAGTCCGCCCGTTCATGTGAATCAATGAATCCGGAAAAGGTAATAGTCTATTGTGGAACATACTTTTTCTTTATATTAACATTTTTTGTTTAGGTTGAACGAGGTGTTGTACAACAACCTCCTATACCTATAGAATTGAATAAACAAAACGCAAAAGAGAATGTTATTGTCGATGGAAGATCTGTAGCTATTAAAAACAAATCGACGGTTAAAACAGTAAGTTTTCCTTTAAATATATAAAGGCATATTTAAATCCTTCAGATAACTTCCCTACCGGTCATTTCAATCAAAATTATACGGATTGAATTTTTTATTAAAAATATTGTTCACTGAGGATGTACATAAGACCGCTGATTTTTAGATTTTTCAAGAGTTCTTCTAGAAATTGTGATAACCTGGATACAACATGTTACATCAAGAAAAACAAGAGAGTTGTACATTAAACTTATAAAATTAAAATTATACTTTATGTTTACTTCATTATTCTTTATAATATGACATATCTATCGTTGAGAAGGCATCGTTTAATCCGANATTACATTTACCAGTATTGGAATGTTATGTTTCTTACTTTAGCTTTTGTATTATTCTGATAAATAATTATCAAATTGTTAACCCACAGGAACCTGCGAAATTACAACCTGTTGCTGAAAATAAAACAATGATATCATTTTCACCCGATACTATTGACCACATCCCAAACACGGAATTTTTCCTAAGTCTTATGTCATGTTCACTGTGTCCAAAATTTACTACAAGAGTGCGATATATTTTAATTCGTCATTTAAAAGCCCACAAAAGGAACCAAGATAATACAACTAAGGAGATTGTGAATTCATTAAATTCTATTGGAACGCCAATGCATATGTTTGAAAAACCGACAACCCAGTCCGCCACCTCATGTGAATCAATGAATACGGAAAAGGTAATAGTCTATTGTGGAACTTAATTTTTCTTGCTAGTGATTTTTTTTGTTTAGGTTGAACGATCTGTGGTACAACAACATCCTATAGCTTTAGAATTGAATAAACAAAACGCAAAAGAAAATGTTAGTGACGCTGGAAGTTCAATAGCTATTAAAAACAAATTGACGGTTAAAACAGTACGTTTTTCTTTTTATATATAAAGGAATATTTAAATCCTTATAATAACTTCCCTACCGGTAATTTCACACAAAATTATAAAGATTGAATTTTTTATGAAAATATTTTTCACTGAGGAGGTACATAAGAGCGCTAATTTTTAGATTTTTCAAGAGTACTCCTAGAAATAGTGATAACCTGGATATAACATGTTACATCAAGGAAAACAAAATAGTTGTACATTGAACATATAAAATTAAAATTATACTTTATGTTTACTTCATTATTCTTTATAATATGACATATCTATCGTTGAGAAGGCATCGTTTAATCCGAATTCTGCTNTTCTGTTACCTATGTATTATCATTGCCTAATAGTATGCATTAAACAACAAATACTAGTGTTTACCTTCGACCTTATTACTTTAGGAAATAGTTTTTTTTTTATAAATTTAATTCTAAAATTTTTTTATTACATTTACCAGTATTGGAATGTTATGTTTCTTAGTTTAGCCTTTGTATTATTCTGATAAATAATTATCAAATTTTTAACCCACAGGAATCTGCGAAATTACAACCTGTTGCTGAAAATAAAACAATGATATCATTTTCACCCGATACTATTGACCACATCCCAAACACGGAATTTTTCCTAAGTCTTATGTCATGTTCACTGTGTCCAAAATTTACTACNGTTTCTTACTTTAGCTTTTGTATTATTCTGATAAATAATTATCAAATTGTTAACCCACAGGAATCTGCGAAATTACAAACTGCTGCTGAAAATAAAAATATGATATCATTTTCACCCGATACTATTAACAATATCCCAATGACGGAATTTTTCCCTAGTCCTATAGGATGTCCACTGTGTCCAACATTTCCACTGTGTCCAACATTTTCCACACGAGTCCGGTCCACTTTAAATCGCCATTTAAAAGCCCTTTAAATCGCCANTCCTTCAGATAACTTCCCTACCGGTCATTTCAATAAAAATTATACGGATTGAATTTTTTATTAAAAATATTGTTCACTGAGGATGTACATAAGACCGCTGATTTTTAGATTTTTCAAGAGTTCTTCTAGAAATTGTGATAACCTGGATACAACATGTTACATCAAGAAAAACAAGAGAGTTGTACATTAAACTTATAAAATTAAAATTATACTTTATGTTTACTTCATTATTCTTTATAATATGACATATCTATTGTTGAGAAGGCATCGTTTAATCCGAATTCTGCTCGGCATCATTTTCTGTTACTTATGTATTATCATTGCCTAATAGTATGCATTAAACAACAAATACTAGTGTTTACCTTCCACCTTATTACTTTGGGAAATAGTTTTTTTTTTATAAATTTAATTCTAAAATTTTTTTATTACATTTACCAGTATTGGAATGTTATGTTTCTTACTTTAGCTTTTGTATTATTCTGATAAATAATTATCAAATTGTTAACCCACAGGAATCTGCGAAATTACAAACTGCTGCTGAAAATAAAAATATGATATCATTTTCACCCGATACTATTAACAATATCCCAATGACGGAATTTTTCCCAAGTCCTATAGGATGTCCACTGTGTCCAACATTTTCCACACGAGTCCAGTCCACTTTAAATCGCCATTTAAAAGCCCACCAAAGAAATCGTGATAATACAACTAAGGAAATTGTGAATCCATTAACTTCTATTGGAACGTCAGTGCATATGTTTGAGAAAACGACATCTCAGTCCGCCCGTTCATGTGAATCAATGAATCCGGAAAAAGTAATAGTCTATTGTGGGACTTACATTTTTTTTGATTTTTTAAAATGTTTAAAAAAAAAAAAGTAATATAAAAATACAATACCGAACTTAAGGTTAATTGTTTTTCTGTAGGTTGAACGAGCTGTGGTACAACAACCTGCTATAGCTTTAGAACTGAATAAACAAAACGCAAAAGGGAATGTTATTGTCGATGGAAGTTCAATAGCTATTAAAAACAAATCGACGCGAAAAACAGTAAGTTTTCCTTTTAAAAATATTACAAGTAATTATATTTTTGTTTAATTTCATAGTTAGCACAGAGGTTTTCTCACTAGAAAAGAATGTGGACTTTTCAATCAACTCATAATGTAATTGTAAAAAAGTTCATTTACTGGATCACACTGATGACGTATAATTAGGTAACTACAAAAAATATTAAACAAAATTGTAATCATGTTGTTTAATTCTAATAATGAATTTTGCAGTGTTGGTTTTATGGGAAATAATATCGTTACCATAGATGTGATATTTTATCGTAGTTAGGATATATTATTTAGAAATAAGTGTATAAAAGTTTAGTCTAGGAGTGTGTGTGTATTAGGTTCTAATTTTTAAGGGGCTAGCATTGTTTTCTGAGTTGTACATCATTATATTTTTGTGTATTCAATCGCTATGTTTACAGATATGTCTGCAGGATAACCAAATTAAAATCCATGCGTATTTTACGCAAGTGTCTGTCATAAATCATACGATACTTATTTGGCAACTGTCAAAATGTGTTATCTCATTATAATTCCTTTACGCCGATGACAGCTATGTTTTATGCACAGTGTTATCGTGCTGACATGTAGCGATAGTGTATACCATTAATGCGCACTTGCGCACTCTTTCCTGAAAACGATAAATGAAAAAACATTTGATATTACAAATATGAGAAGTCGCTCTTACAATAAATGACATCAGTGGTAATCAGAATTAAATTGAAATATCAGTAGAATTCAATATTGTGTTTGTATGGGCGGCATATTTATAGAAATACAAATGATTATAATTGAAGAAGCACGATGAAGTAAGTTTAAATAGAAGATAGGAAAAAATTGCATCAAATAAAAATTTGTTAGTTGAGTTATAAGCAGAGATATGTGGGCATTATGTGTAGATATCGAAACTAATTATAGATAAAAAGATGTTGATGGAAGATATAAAAGTTACTCTCTTCACCTGGGTTCATAAAATTAAAGGAGAAAATTATAAACAATATAAAATGTTTAGAAATACTTATAGTCTTGTTTTTCTTAAACTCATGTTTTTTTTTCATGTAAGATTACACAAATATTATTATCTGTTGATATGTTTTACAATTAAATATTTTTTTTATTTCAGGTAATCTACAACTCTTGTATTTGTAAGACTGGCCAAATATTTACTTTTATTATTCTTTAATAGTATGATCCATACTTTGTACATTGATAATATTTTGTATCAAAAACAAAAATATAATTATAAGTTATTTTGTTTTATTTACTTTAACTTCTTATTTAAAAATAGTTGTTAATTAAGAAGAATTATGTTTATCATATAATTTTGTCTTTTGTGTTTTTCATTGTATGATAATTATAAGTTTAAATTTTTTTTTTCAGTATGTACATACTATTAAATGTTCGATTTTAACCATATTTTTATATAACCTAGCACTTTTAACTATTATGATTTTTTCTGAATTATTAAAAAATAATAATTCACTCATCTGTATAAATGTTTCATTATTAAAATAATACATCTGATATTAAGGGTTGTATCTTTTATGTGTGTATGATTATTCATTGATTCATAAAACAAATTAAGTGTATACATTCATAAGTAAAAAGTTTGATGTCTGATTTTTAATATAAAAATTATTTGTAAAATATTACATAAAAAAAACACACATACATAATAACTTATGTTTAAAATTCCTGGGAAAATAGATAACAAATTTGAATTAAGAACTATAAGTGTTAAACTTTTGAACTGTATAATATTTATATATATCATAGAAAAATATTTACTAGTTATGTTGGTGACACTTTCATATTATTTGTAGATTTGAATAGACAAGCAAACAATTTAATGAACTACTTAAACAAAATAAATAAGAATATTCAATTTACAATCGAAATACAAATAAATAATAAATAATATTTCTTAGTAAAACTCTATTTGATTCAACATTCTATAGACTTAAAGGTGTTTCATTAAATAAACATAATGTTCAACACCAAATCAATATTATTTATGATATAGCCCATAGAAATAATTTCAATTTAAATACAATTAAACAAATTCATAAACGTATAAAAAAAATAGTAAAGCACAACTCACTATAAAATATAAACTATTAACTAGAGTTGAACATAAATCAGGAAATTGTTCTCTATTATTTCCATAATGACCAACACCGTTACAATGATAACAAACATTTTTAACAATTGGGATTTAGAGCAAACGACTTCTCCCATGTGTAAAAATGTTTCTAACATAATATTGATATTGATTTTATACAGTTTTAATAAACTAACAAAACGTTTCAAACAAATACTTTGAAAAATTTTTAAAATAATATTATTTTTATTGAGCTTTGTTTCATTCAAATGATCGTTGGCGTACGGAGTTTGTATTATCCTAATATTTCGAATATTCCCCAATGGACGTGGAATGTAGGTAATAATTTTTGTAATGTTGCACATGGTTGTTAAGGGACGTAAACAGATATGTCGATGCGCGCGTATGTGTGTTTGATGGTAATGGAGCGTCCTCGATAAGGCAAAATTTTAATATCGTAAGATTCCATAGTACGCGTAGTTCATATAATGTGATAATAAGTTTCCTGTTGTTTGTTTTTACCATCATATCAAACACGCTAGCGAAAACTAAAATGGTTCATTAGACGAGTGTGCGTTCGCAGAACTGTCGTTTGCGAAAATCGGCACTAAATATCATGTACGTATTTTACTGATATCCGGTGTTCAGTTTGTCCTTTTGAACATTCGTAGAAATATAATAAGTGAAATAATTTATAATAATTATTATAATTTTAATATAGTTATTATAATAATTATTGTTTAAAATATCGTAAAATCGATGGTTTTTATTGTGTTGTACAATATTATTATATGTTGCTGTGGCTATAAGCATTTAGTTGAGTGATATGACCACGTCGACAATACCTTCATGATGTAACAGTGTAATTGGAAATGGAAGAAAATATGTAGGTAAGGATCTAAAAAAAAAGTCTATGAATCAAATTTTGTTTAGGAGAAAACGTGTTGCCGTATAATTCTTGTTTTTTAACCAATAATTATTCAAAGCGCGTAGGTTACGGAACCTCTCCCAGTAAAGAAAACCATGAATTGTATGTTAAAAAGCCGTTTGTAAAAGTCGATACATCGCTAATTTTGTGAAATAAGTAAATATGCATTGAAACACCGTCGTCGATGTTATTTTTTCCGCGAGGTATAAAGGCAAGCGGTAATTATTTCAATCATTTCGAGAAATGAAAAGTACTGCGTATAAAATAATTGGGCTGCAGGTAAAATCAATAAAACGCACAGTATTTCTTTCATTGGCCAAATCGGTCTATATGATGTGATACGTTGTTGGGTTACCAAAAAACGGGTGAACATAATTTTTTTTAACCTCAAATTAGATACCAATATTTTTTCTGTTCTTGCGTTGTACCCGATAGAGTAAAAAAAATATTAATAAAAACGAATATCTGTAACACGAATCGTAACAATTTGTTATATATTAATGTTATGCTATTCCTCAAAAGGAAAGAGTAAATTATCAGCGAACACACGTGTCCGGCTATCGATCAGTTGCGAATATAAACAGTTGGTACCTCTTCTTATTATCTGCTAGAAAATGTCTTTGTGTGTTTGCACACAGACACACATTCACATACATACACACACACACACACACACACGCGCGCGCGCGCGAGTGTTTGCACAATTACACATACATCGATTTACAACACACTGTCTTATGTTTGTATACTCATTACGCGATACTGGGTTATTGTCGTTTTTCAGCTTTTCTGGTTGTCATTCTTTTAGTTTTCGGTAATAAATTTATTTACAATCGTTTAAAACGTTAATATTCGCATTTTTTACGGTGTTATATTGTTGATTACAGTCGTATTATGATCGTGTAAGTGACGGTCACTCGATCGTGCGTTATCGTTCTTGCCAACTGACGTTCGGGGTTTGGGCGTCCATTGCCATGGATGTTTTTGTGTAGCGTACCCGACTTATCCTATGAAAATGTGAAATTCATTCTCCGTAACCTTCTTCGGCAAACCGTCATCGTTTCATAAGGCCATATATGCTCCCCGTAGCATTTTCCGTCCCCTATCAGCCACGATTTTGTAAGTTTTATTTTTATTTTTTATTTAATGAACATTAATAGTTCTCGGTCATTTGAGTATAGACCTGTTGTGTGAGCATCCATTTTATTCGGCTCTCGTCGCTATTCTTCCATTTGACACATGCAACCACTTGCTTGTTGTTAAAAACTTGTCGCCAAGCAATTTTAAACAGTCGATTTGCCACCGTGGAAACATATGAAGAGAGCGACACGGATGGTAATCATTTTTACATTATTGGTTTTATTTTATGATTTTAATTACTGATTTTTTTTTAATACCAAGGCGGAGAATACATATGTGTCGTGGAAGCCACAAGAAAAAATTTGCAGAATTTGCAAAAAAAAATTGGTAAGTGTAATTATTTAAATATTTAGAAGCAACATGTGGAAATGTTAAAATCTTTGTATAAATTGATAAGTTATTTATTTCCTCTGTTGAATATTCTGAAATTTTGATGTTTTTATCGTTGTGGTTAAAAAATATATTTAAATATACATATAATTTAGAGGAATAAAATTTAACATTGTTTTTTGTTTTGTTTTTTTTTTTTTGTTATTGTTTTTAATATTTAGTTGTGTAAAGGTTTTGTATTTATTTTATTTTACTCTTTGCACAATATTTATTAAATAATAAAATCTCAAAAATAATTTTTCAATTTTTCTTTTTAATATGTTAAAATAACTAAGTTTATCTTAATTCTT